GCATTGGATTGGAGGTTACCTTTTTTTTTGCCGCTTGAGTGAAAATCGCAGGATGGACGAAATTTTTGTTGCTGTTTGACGTTGGTGGTGGTGACGTCCTCCGGGATGTTGGTGGTGCTGCACCCCTAAGGTGTCCTTGGGGGGGTAAGAGAACAAGTTTGATAAATGGGGATTTTGGGTTGTGGTTGAGGGGTCCCTTCGTGTTGATGGCCCGGACGTACATGGTATTTCGTTTGAAATAAGTAAAGGTTGTCCCCCCGACGTTTAAACCTTATTCCCGACGGTCATTCGGTCCCGACCTGCCCCCCCCCCCCCCCCCTGCTAGCTTGGTCTGGACAAAGCTGTTCTCGCGCACGCCCGGAGCGAGGCACAGCAGGGGGTTGACGAGGCCCCAGAGGGGGCCCCGGCGAATAGCGGGACCGGCATGATCAGTACCCGGGGCACTGGCAAGGTGAGGAGCACGGACTTTTTTCTCGAGACGAAGAACCGTCGCCCGCCCGTTGTTTGCATGCTCTCACTCACACCCCATGTCTATTTGCTGTTGTTGTTGTTGTTGTTGTCGTTGGGTGGTGGTGGTGGTGGTGGTGGTGGTGGTGGTGGATGCAGCTCCGCCCCTTTGTTTGCACGCACCCACTCACACCGTGTCTGTCTGTTGTTGTTGTTTTTGCTGCTGCTGCTGCTGCTGCTGCTGCTGCTGCTGCTGCTGCTGCTTAATATTGCTCTTGTTGCTGTTGTTAATAATGCTGTCGTTGTTATTATTATTATTGTTGTTGTTGTTGTTGTTGTTGTTGTTGTTGTTGTTGTTGTTGTTGTTGTTGTATGCAGCTGGACCTTGCGGCCGAGGAGATCGACCACCTCCTTAAGCGAGGTGCTTACGACGTGTTCCACGAGGACGACACCGAGGGGAAGGACTTCGTAGAGGCCAGCATCGACGACATCATGAAGCGCGCGGCCACCAAGGTTATTGCCCATGTATTGGTAGATACAGCGTGTTTACGGGCAGGCACTCGTACAGGGTTTATGTAGATACAGCGTGTTTAAGGGCAGGCGCTCGTACAGGGGCGGGGCAGGGATGGGGGACGGAAGATGAAGAAATTAGGAAATATCGGGGCAGTTATTTTTTTTTTTGCGAAGATCAGAGTTTGTGTTCGTCGTGGGCGTGTAAAATGAATGCAAGTGTTTGGAAACCGTGTCACTCGTCTTATGGCGGGCCGTCGTGAGGCTGTTGCTGTTGAGTGCATGTACATGTATGGCATGGATGCAGCCACAGAAGGGTGTTGAGTACAAGTATTGCATGGATGCAGCCACCGAGGTTGAGGCTGGGGTGGTTCAGGGTATGTTGCAAACGCCGGGATTTGTGTGATCCTGCGCGTGAGAAAAGAGGTTTCTGGGTGGTACCAGGTACTGTATCCTGCTCGATTCTCCGTGTTGGTACCCCCCCCCCCCCCGCCCCTGGTCCTCTCGAGGACGCGTGGTCAATGGTCTCAATAACTAAAGGATGTAACACATGAAAATACGCCCGCCCGTACCCCCCCCTTCCAATACCCCCATCCAGGTGACCTACGGGAACACGTCCACCAACACCAAACTGTCCACGTCCTTCAGCAAGGGCAGCTTCGTGGCGAGAGAAGAAGAAGAACAGGTGGACCTTGACGACCCTGACTTCTGGAAAAAAGCGATCGGGTTGGTCGAACAACCCGTCCCGGAAAAAGACAAAAACCAACAAGTGTGGGACCGACGGCGGCACGCCAAAAGGGGGGGGGGGGGGGAATCATAGTCGTGCATGCCGTAATCGTTAGACCATTGACCTCGCATCCCTACGAAGCCGGGACGGAGCATGCCGGGTTCTCACCGGACCAGACTCTAGAGGGGGGGGGGGAGGGTGATCCGCAAAACGGTGGAAATCACACATCCACCACCTTCTGCTGACGAAAAAATGTTTTTTTTTTGCCCCTTGTTTGGGTTTCTTTGTTTTCCTGCGCTTGCTTTTGCTTTCCTCCCCCCCCCCCAATCCGTGACCCGTTTTGTGGGGTCCTCCGGTCTCCCCCCATCCCCCCCGGGGGCGCGAGAAAACAGGGGCTCCTCGGGCAGCGCAGCCCCAAGCAGACCAAGGTGTTCGATCCCCACAGCAACAGGGAGCACGTCCGGGAGGCGGGCGAAGCGGATGACGGCGCTGCTGGTGGTCGCGATCGTGGCGCAAATATGGTCAGACCGGCGGTGTTTTTTTTTTTTTTTGGGGGGGGGGGGCATGGTGTACCTTTAAGGCTGCACGCGTTGTCGCGACCGAGAGTGCGGGGTTGGTTTGTGTGTGTGTGCTGTGGTAGGTTATCTCGCTATGACGGCGCGGGATTCGCGGCACGGGGGATGGGAGCGGGATCTTGCGTTCGCTTAAATTACCGTTTCCACCTACACACGTTGATTATGTCCTCTCACGAAAGGTTCGCATAATGCCGCCGGAACAAATAGAAGAGATGCACACGTAGCTTATGTGAGGCTCGTCCACGCCCCCCCCCCGCCCCCCGCCGCCTATTTTGTTGTTTCCATTGGCGGCAGGGGTACGACTCTTACGACTCCGACGACAGCCTTGAGTCTGACTTTGCCGGGAGCGAGGCGAGAGAGGCGAGGGGGGACGAGGAGTACGAGCTCGAGGGGAGCAGCAGCAGCCGGAGAGATCGCTCCAAGAAGTCGGGCAAGGCGGCTAGGGTAAGTAGGGCAAGGCGGGACGGGCTGTTTCTCGGATTTGTTGTAGTTGACGTTTGGTGTGTGTTGGTGTTGTGTTTGGTGTGATGCTGCTGCTGCTGCTGCGGTTTGTGGTTGGGTGTTGGTGTTTGGGTGCTGGCAGCTTGTTGTGCTTGCAGCCGTGGTACTGGTAGTGTAGTTGGTGGTGGTGGTGGTGGTGGTGGTGATCGTGCTCCTGCCTTTGTGTCTGTTATCGTCGGCCAGACAACGTCAGGGACTTGAGCGTTACCGTAGTTCGGGTCTAGTGAATGAATGCCCGGTGTTACACAAAAAGCGTTTGTTCTTCCCGAAAGTGCGTTCCCGCCTAGTTGGCAGAGGTTAGCAGACAAAATGGAAATGCCTGTTGCCCCATGTTGTGAGCCGTGTCAGTAGTGAGTTCTACTTCCCCCGATCTCCTCCAATCTCGCCGCACGCATTCGCCATCGCCTCGTTGTTGTCGTTGTCGTTGTTGTTGTTGTTGTTGTTGTTGTTGTCGCGGTTGAAGGTTCGGTCCTCTAAGCCCATGAAGGACTGGGGCACCCACAACCGGGACCGGCTGGTTAGGTCCCTCCAGCTGTACGGCTTCGGGAGGTGGCCCCGCATCCGCAAGGAGGCCGGCGCGAGCATACGGCCGCTCGAGGTGCGTGGTTGCTTGTTGTTGTTCACGTTGCTTATGTTGTTGTTGTTGTTGTTGTTGTTGGCGTTATTGGTTGTTGTTTGTTGTTGTTTTTGTTGTTGCTGTTGCTGTTGTTGTTTGGCGGGAGGTTGGGCGGCGGACGATACGCAAGAGCGGCCTCTGCTCACTGCCACGTTCTAGCACCGGTACTTGACTGGCCCAACCGATGCGGAAGCGTTCGGTGGTCATAGGCTAACGGACCGATAACTGAGGTAGAAGCGCATACGAATACGGCAGTACGTGTGACGCAATGCAACAATCTGGCGACGGTTACATCCCGCCTGTCCGTTTTTTTTTTGTTTTGTTCTTTTGTCGCAGGATGTGGAGAGTTTCGCCAGAAGCTACGTCCTCCAGGCCGGGGTGTGCGCTCGAGAGGAGGAACGCTTGCTCGGCCTCAAGGTACCACAAAAAGTCATGGGGGCGTCGCCACCTGTGGGGTAGAGTAGCGATTCTTTCGGGCCCCAAATTTTTGCCGTTGTATGGAAAGAGGAGGAACAGTCAAAAGGAGTTGCTCTCTCGCGCTCTTCTTTTCTCTGGACACGAACAATCATATACACGCTGGTACCATTTTCGGATTTCGGAAGTTAAGCAGTTCTGGGCCAACAAAGAAAGAGAATTGACGAGCTTGAGCATAAGGACAGGTGCTTGGTTTAGAAACCTACACGAAAAAGAGGTGTTGGTTTTGATTTACCCTCACACGGGAAGTACGAGCGTCTCGCAAAGTTGAGCGGTTTCTCGGGTGACGTCGCGTACTGTTGTACGACCACAAGCCTAGGGCATGCATACCCGACCCTCTGCCCCTTGGCAGAAGTAGAGAGGAATGATTAGCCATCGGTGATCTTGGGGCCTGTGGGAACAAAGCTCCGTCCTCTCGAGGAGGCGTGGCCAGTATATTAACAGCTGAAGGCACGCATGCAAGAGACAGGAGTACGACCCCCCCTGTGCCCCTTGTCCGCGTGCGCACTCGCCTACCTTGGTCCGCAGGCGGAAGAGGGAGGCGGCGGGGAGGACGGCCACCAGCCCAACGGCAGCGGCAGTGGGGGGGGCGGGAGCAAGCGGCCGGGCGCGAAGGAGGAGGAGAGCGAGTTCGTTCGGCAGGCGATGAACGCCGCGAAGGATATCCAGGATCAGATCGCCAACGGTGTCAGGACCATCGACATCCCGGCGGTGAGAGTGGGAGGCAATTGGAGAGGGAGACAGAGACAGAGACAGAGACAGAGACAGACATGCAGGCAGACAGACAGACACACACACAGAGGAGAGAGAGAGAGAGAGAGAGAGAGAGAGAGAGAGAGAGAGAGAGAGAGAGAGAGAGAGAGAGAGAGAGAGAGATGAGTGGCAGAAACTGACTAAGAGTGGATTAAAGCCCACGCAGTGGATTAAAGCCCACGCAGAACGCGAGCGGTTTTCGAGCAAAACCACGCCATCATTTACCAACCGCACTCGCGCGATGAACATTCCAATGGAACATTCTGTCGGCGCACACGTTCGCTTCGGTTAAAAACCTGGCCTCTCTTCTTCTTTCCTCATTGTATCCTTCGGACGTTTGACGTTTTCGCTTCTTGGGATATGAATCTAAAACCAAACCATTCAAAAATGCAACAACAAAATCGATCAGGTGCTGCGGGAGGAGAAGTTCGTGGAGAAGCTGGTAAAGCAGGGCCTAGCCAAGAAGGCCCTCCAGAGGCTGGACCTCTTGCGGAGGCTACAGATCATGGTGTCCAAGACTATCGAGCGGGTCCTCCGCGACATGCCCAGGGCCGACAGGCAGAGGTGAGATACAGAGCAACCCCGCGGTGGTGGGGGTGACTGGCAAACGTAGTACTCTTCTCAACTTGTGTTTTTGGGTCCACGTTGGTCCTGTGCGAGTGTGCAGGTTAGGGTTGGTGATGTGATGGCGGAGGCTTCAACGTGATTTTGTGGAAGGTTTTGGAGTGGAAAAATGCTTTTTTGCGACTCATGTTCTCACTCTTGTTCCATGGCCATGCTTTGGTCGTCTGTCTCCGCCCCCACCCCGCCAGAAACGAGTTTTCCATTACAAGTACCACTCGTGTTCTCACTCTTGTTCCATGGCCATGTGTTGGTCGTCTGTGTCCGCCCCCTCCCCGCCAGAAACGATTTTCCATGACAAGTACCATCTGTTTTTTATTCGTCTTGTGCTCCCCGCCCCGTCCCCAACCCCCAACCCCCAACCCCGCATAAATCGAATGGGTCGAGAATGTTCTCACTCCCTTTCCCATTACCATCTGCTTGTTGTCCGTCTTATGCTCTCCGTCCCGTTTCCCATATTTTTTTGTTCGCCTTCTGCCCCCCCCCCCGCCGCCGCCGCCGCCAGAAACGAGTCGGTCGAAGACATGGACCTGCAGGTGTCCGCCCTGGCACCCTTCGGCCTGTCCACGGCCCTCCCCCTCGGCGACGTTCGTCCCAAGTGGGCGTCGTCGGTGCAGCCTTGGTGGGACCTGGAGTGCGACCGCGACCTGCTGCTGGGCACCTTCCTGCACGGGTTCGGGGCCTACCCGAAGATGAAGGCCGACCCACGCCTGTGCTTCTCGACCAAGGTGCGGAGTTTGCAGGATTGTTGCGAAGACTGGGGGTGGAGTTGTTGTGGCTGTGGATGCCGGGTATTTTGTGCGTACAGTAGTTGGTGTCGAGGAGTGTTGTGTTTTGTGTGTTGAAATGTTGAGAGTGTATGGAGGGTGTTTGCGTGATGTTTTTTTAGAGTAGTCGTTGCAGTTTTTTTTTTTTTTTTTCAGGCCGCACGTTGCGACGGCAGGTGTTGCGACGGAATGCCAAGCGTTGTGGCCACCACATGTGTGGCAAAGTTTGGTGCTGCGACACCGGCGTGTACTGACGCTTCATGGCGCAAGACTATGGCACAATACTTCGTTCGGAGTAGAAGACACGGCCGGGAAAAGTTAGAAAGCGAAACAACAACGACAAAAAGCTTGGTGTTTCGCCGAGACAAAGCAACAGCAGTGTAGCGGCTCCCTATTGGCATGTAGCGAGTAGTTTGTCAAGGATTGCGTTCGCGCGATCGCTGTAACCCCCCCCCCCTCATCGTCCTTATCGTCTGACGTCCCCCCGCAGATCCTCGGCCTCGAGCTCCGAAGCCCCAGCCAAACCACCGGAGGCGGCGAAACCGACACCGGGACTGCTGCTGCTGTCAAACAGGAGGGGCAAAGTGGCGACAAGGACAAGGAGGCGACGACGACGACGACAACGACGGCTGACGGGGACGCTCCGACGCCATCCCCGACCCCGACTCCGGCCTCCTCTTCGAAACGGCAAGCTTCTCCGGACGCACCCGTGAGTGGTTTGATTGTGTTGGTTTACGAATGTGGCGTTCTGTTGCTGTGCGGTTGTGGACAAGGAGGTCGGTGATGGATGATCGGAGAGCTTGTTGATTGTGGTGGTTTACGTTATGTTGTTTTGTTACTCGGTTGCGGACAAGGAGGTAGGTGGTGGATCAACGGAGTGGTTGTTTGTGCGCGTTGTTTGGTTGTAGACAAGGAGGTAGGTGATGGATGAACGGTGTGGTTGTTTGTAGGTGGTGGTTTTGTTGTCGTTGGTGGAGTGGTTGTTCCGTTGCGTTTCGTCTGAATAGGTTGCGCTTGGCGATGGTCCGTGCGGTGCTCTGTTTCGCTGCTGTGTGTCATGTAGAAGTGTTGCTTGTTGGTTTGGTGTGATCGTTCTTCTGCTGCCACGTTGTTAGTTTTGTTGTCGTTTCTGCTACTGGTGCTGCAGCAGGTGCTGTTGTCCCCTCGCGCACATAATGACGTGGTCAGGATGACGGACGTCCAGCCTAGGGAGATTGATGTAAACGGCATATCTTGGCGTGACTGATTTGTTTTTTACTCCTGATCTCAACAACTGGTCTTTCGCTTTTCTTCTTCTCTACCTGCTCCTGACCTTCATAACCGATCTTTGTATTTTTTCTGTCCTTGAACGCACGCAACTCTGCCCCCATTGGCACGGCACATCATCCAGGCCATTGGCAGAAGGATCAGCCTGTTCAAGGGCGTTTTCAGCCAGCCCGGTAGCAGTCGATGGGTCGCCATCGCCAGAGATGGCAAGCGGCAGGCCTCCTTCCTCGGCTCACACGCCACCGAGGTGTGATATGGCATACTCCTACATGTGTGCAGGGGCGTTGTGAGGGTGTCGTACGTGAGGGATGACATTAGCACGTGTGTGGAGGGGGCGGTGTGAGGGCGTCGTGCCTGAGGTATGACATTAGTACATGTATTAAGAGGCGGTGTGGGTGTCTTGGCTGAGGTATGACATGCGTGTATGGTGGGGCGATGTGAGGGTGTCGTACGTGAGGTACGATGTATGGAGAGGTGGTGTGCGGGTGTCGTGTCATCTTTTCCATTGGGCGTCACCCCAGCTAGGCTGGTACAATCTAGTATATGTTCTATGAGACGCATTGGCCGTGTCCACTCTGCCGTGTGTGGTCTCGACTGCTTTTTTTTTTCTTCCTTTCTTGTTTGCATATGTTCTTCGATTTCTACAAAGGTGCACCACTTTGTGCGGGTAGTTGGCCTGTGGCCGCTTTAGGCGTCCTCGTCAGTTGGACCAGCACGGATACTAGAAGGTTATAACCGGAGATGGGAACATTTTCTCGTTAAACGTGAAGAAAGCAGCAGCAGCAACAACAACCACGCGCGTGTCTTTGGTGGAACAGGTGGGCGCTGCGAAGGCGTACGACCGCTTCACGCGGAAGGCGTACGTCGGGCAAGAGCTCAAGGCCGGGAACGCGGAGCCTGACAAATCCAAGGCTCCGACCAACTTCAATCTCGATGGCACCAGGTGACTGACATGTGTACGATGGTGGGGTGTACTCTGGGGATGGTTACAACTCTAGGTCGAAGAGTGGATGGAGTGTATCTCTCTCTCGCATCCTGCTGATTAGTACCCATCAAACGAAGCTGTCATCCGTAGGCAAGGAAGTAAGCACAAGATGCCGAACACCCTTCGCACGATGCAGCGCACCCTTAATGCGACTCACTGAATACCTCGCGGCGTTTCGCGCTTGGTGATGTGAGAGCCTGGTCCGGTGAGAATCCGGCGTGCTCCGTCCCGGCTTTGAAGGGATGCGAGGTCAATGGTCTAACGACTACGGCATGCACGACTATGAGTACCCCCCCCCCCCCCCCCCCCCCCCCCCCCC